GCGGCCGGCCGAGCTTCCGGGTGCTGAACGGAGAAGCGGCGGGCTCTTGGCTCTGGGTCAGGCCGGCGCTGCGGGCTCCGCAACCTTTCCTTCCTCTTGCAGGGACCGAAGATGCAGGGAAAAGGTCTGCACCGTCCTCGGATGGCAGGAAAGTGGGAGCTTTCTGCTACCCCCTGGGGGCCGTCCGGATTTTTTCACCTCCGGTCTGGGAGCTCGACTTTTATCCTCTTCGACAATGTTTCAAGCCCGTGTCCGATGCCCTTTCACGGGCCCATTTCTGCTCACCTGGAGATGCCTTGAGATACAGCAGTTGCACCAGTTGGGTTTCTGGCTGATAGCTCTCGGTGAGCGGGGGGAGCAATCTCATTAAAAAATGGGCCTTTACTGTGGGATCGCTCACTGGATGGCCTGGCTTGAATCTGGAACGAAAGAAATAGCAGGCCGCCCCTGAGCATACCTAGAGTAAGTCCCACTCCCCATGAATGGCCGCGCCTGCCGCTGGCCAGTCTCTCCTTCCCGCGCGCCATCTGCAAACGACGCGTCCTCACACGCATCCCGAGGCTCAGCAGCCGCCAGGAGAAGCAAGCGTGACCGTGGCTTTACACGCACAAGCCAGAGAAGGCCCCCCAAACATTCTGCTGCGCGAGGCCCACCGGGAAGGGACGGGCACTTTGCCCAATTCATCAGGCCTCACGCCCTGGCCGTGGCAGGGCTTGGCCTGAAAGGTTGCCCAGCGTGGGTCAGCGCTTGGAACTGGCTGGCCTCGCCCCTCGCCCTCTCCTGCTCGGTGGCCCGTCCAACAAGCCCTTTGTGGGGTCTCCTTTCCCCACCTCCCGGGCCCAGGTGATTCAGAGTGACGTGGCGGTCCTTGCTGGGTCTGGAAGCCGCTTTCTTCGGCAGAGGACCGCGGGTGGTGGTTTCATGCTGTTGACGCGGAGGGCTGAGGAGGGCCGAGGAGTGCAAAAAGCTCAAAAACATGGAAGCGCTCTCCCTTCCGGGCTAATCGGCCAGTTCCCAGGGACTGTCAAGGACAGGTGGCCTTGGGATGTGCCTGGAGCATGCCCCAGTCCCAGAGGCCTCCCCTGGGAGCCTCCCTCCCGGCCAGTGGCCCTCGCTTCCCCGGCCGGCCCTCCTGCTCCCCAAGGTCTCTCTGACCTCCGGATGCATCTGTCTGGCCGCAGCCGCTCAGCTTGCGCACTCCTGTTCCGACTCCCCTCGCCAAGGCCCTGTCAGCTCTGCGGGTGTGAGCCAAGTCCAGAAGATGGGCCTCTCCCTGGAGAGCATCAGGCTGTGACAGTGCAGCGGGAACGCTCCTCTCCCCGCACGCGGAGCCTCCCTCTTTCCGAGAGTCTTGGAAGCGGCGGGAGCTTTCTGGGTGCCCAGAGAAGACCGTCTTGGTCCGCGCTCTTCCAACCCGGGGCCAGCTGCGAAAGGATTATGTCACAGGGAT